GGGCCCTGGGCGGGACTTGATGGGAGGGTTCCCCTCTGGGACGGACACCAGGAGTGGGTCTTGCGCCTTACCTGTCCCTCTTCGCAAGCGGGAGGGAGTAGCAAGGCGGCGGGTGATCCCTGTCGCCGTCCGGCCTTGTGCTGGGTGCGCTGCGGGGGGACAGTGGGAGGCCTGCCTCAGGCACAGCGCGTACGCCGCGGCCTGGCTCCTTCTCCGTCGTACCGCTGGTTTTGGGAGACTCTGAGGAAGGGCTCTTGAAAGGTGTTTTTATTTCAAAAACAGGAAAAAACCACGTTTCTCGGTTTAAAAAAAAAAAAAAAAGTCCTTCCAGCTTTCCTCCTTCTCCCACCTTTAAAAAAAAAAAATCAAAAACCAACCCTCACATGTGTAAGAGGGGAGTACTGAGCTTCAGCCTTGCTTAGTAAGTAAGGGAGTTTTTCCTGTCTTCACAGCTTCAGTCTTTGCTTTTCTTCGGTTTCTCGTAAATGTGGTACTGGCGAGAAGGATTCTGTGTGCCTTGGTTTCTGTGGCTGTGGGAGTTTTGCTATTGGGATGCTTTTTGCTGTCTCCTCAGTTGTTTTGATACACTGATCTGGGGCTACTATGTATTGACTAAAATGCATAATGTGCATTGTATTCTGTACTGGCCAAAAAAGCAACCTCTTTATTCTGAGCTGTGAAGTTTATCTTTGTTAGGGTGCTTTTATCCTCAGTCTGTTTACACATCCAATTCGAAATACATATCTTGCCTTTCTCCCTCCCCTCATTCTCCAGGTTATAAGTTCACTTGGAACAACAGCCAGAGTTTAAAAAACCAAAAAGTTGGTATTGTTGTGAGAGCCACTACAGTATGCCTCAATGCAAAAACCTCACAGTTTTTCGCTGGGCATAACAAATGCACATGCAGTTGTGTGCGTGACAAAAGAGCTGTGCAGATCTATAAAGAGTACTGTAGCTTTATACCACTTCTTACAACCTGTGAAACCAGTTATAAAGCGATGTATTTTCTAACTAATAATTAGGTTATGAGCTGCCATTATTTATGTACGAGAATTACTTCTGCTGTGCACTGTTGTGCTGGTATTTCTGTATGAGGAAGATGGAGACTGGGGTACAATCTTCTTAAGCACACTGAAACAACACATCAAATATAGCAATGTATTTTAAATGTTATTTAATACACTAGAAGTCTGAAAAGATGACAACAAAAAAGGAGTAGGTTTCTATAGGCAGCATAAACTATACATGAATGTGTCACCAAGCAGAAAGGGAATTGGTGGGGAAACATCAGATTTAAGTATACATGTAAGTTTTGTTGAAGATCTGGGCTACAAGTAGTATATCATTTTCCTTTTTTGTTTTTAAGGCATTTTATCAAACTACTTACATGAACACGTAGAACACACTCTTTAAAGAAGCAGTAAAGCTGTTTGGCCTATTACAGAACGATGGTTCGGCTAACAATGGACCTAATTGTTAAAAGCATCAGTCACAAGAATCGCAATGAAGAGGACTTTGGACAGTATCTGCAAAAAATAACTCATTTGAATTTATCAGATAAAAATATAGATACCATTGTAAGATTTATTTTTCTTTCCTCCTTTTAACCTGGCCACTTAAATGTTTTGTAGTTACTATTATGATGAGTTGTTTGTAGCTGGGGAGAAAAAAAAGGAAAGCCTAGTTCCAGTTTTATAACAGCTGTGTTATGTTTTAACATTTATATTGACTTGCAATTAGGCCTTAATAATACATCTATTTGGAAACATGCTTCCGCATTCACTGCTGTCATTGTGTGGTCACTGCTTGTGTTTAAATGTTTAAATGGATCTTAAACGCGTGGGATTTGAGATGTGGAAATTACCTTTCATCTGTAACTTTCCATATAAAACATTAAAGCAGATGACTGAACTCCAACAGTCTGCGAGGTTTCTTATTATTGACCTGATACTTGTTTCTTTATATGGCAAAAATGTTACTGAAATATTGTACTTACCTGAAACCGTGGAAATATAGATCATCTGTGTAGCAGACAAGAAGGATATTATTAGTACACTATTTTTGCCATTGATTAATTAAAATAGAAAATCCATGTAAGCAATTAGGCAGGAGAGATGAACTGAAGAGCTAAAATAAAATGTTATTTGCAGTGTTACACAGAACTATTATAGAATTCTGCAGCTTTAGAAACAAAACAAAACAATTTTGCTGCTTTGATTATTTTGTGCACTTGTTACATCCTAAGGGAGCTTTCTGGAAGTCACGAGAATGGAGATGGTAACTTCACTTGCTTACTGCTTTAGCCACTTAAGAAGTTGAATATTTCAAATTAATAATTTAGACCTGACACTTTTCCTATAGAATATAACCAGGCTGTTGACATTGGATCAGTATTTGTAGGGCTTTGGCAGCTGTGCTGTAGCTGTGTTGAAATCTAGCTACAGTGTTCTTGGAGCCTTCAGCTCTGGGATTAAAAAATGAAGATTATATTTTCAGCAACACTTTGAGGTTTTTTTATCTAAAGACTTGTATTGGTTACATTTATGAAAGTGTGAACTGTGGAACTGCAGAAGATGTAAGGAACTACTAATTTTGCAGATCAGATTTATTCTTTTTAAATGAAGTAGTCCCATTACATACTATTAAGTGCAACACTTACTGTATTCTTGTAAATACTATATTTTTTCAAGTCCTGGGAATTTTCCTAAGGGCTCTTAACTTGCAGCACAATCTTTTCAATCTATCTGTGATTTATTCCTTAGATTTTGGAGGAAGTCTGAGAAGGGAAAGGAGAGTTCAGGAACAGGATATAAGTAAGGTTAACAAATTTGGACTGGTGTAGTGGCTTTTACAAATTATTCAGGTTTAAATATACTTTTTTTTTTTAATTGGTCCCTGAGGCTTATTCATTTAAAAAATAATCCATGACCTTTTAATGTTCAAAGACTGAACCTGCAAACTTAACCCAATCCTCCTTTCTTTGAGTTTAATAATAGGAAATTTATACGGGTTTCAGTAAGTCCTGAGTTAATTCAAATCCCCTCAAGATACTGAGCACATTCTGAAACTGCTGAACACTGAATGAGTGAAATGCTGTGTATGGGGAATTTCTCCTTTAAAAGTTTGATTTCAGCCAAGGAGATGAAATAGCTTGTTCTGTGAGCAGATCCACACAAGGAAATGTGTTTATTCAGCCTGCTCCTAGGAACGTGCACAACTGTAGCAAATTGCTAATTTGTTCAGTCCGTTTGATTAGGACCGGTTCATCAAATGCCACAGTGAAGTTTTACAGAAACCCTCATTAAGAACATGTGACCGTTTAGTTATTTAAGAAGAGTATATTCAAAGAAATTTGACATTTGAGCAGAATCTTAGACTTGGAAGTGTCTTAAAATACATCAAAGTGCAAGTTTTTATGTAAATCAGTACTCCTAAGCCAAGCACTCGTTCCCATTACATCTCTGAAGTTTGATAGAGGCAATTACACTCTTCTGAAATCCACCTGATGAAGGCAGGGAAGGGAGCGAAGTCACACGGGATGGGATGTGCCTGCTGGTGGCAGCTGTAGTCCTCAGCCTCTGTACGGCAGAATAGTACTGACAGATATCAGTCTTAAATCTGATGATTGCTGACATCAACACAGTTCTTCTAGGAAAAATAGTTGTCAAAAGTGTTCGTTAAAGGTGAAGATGTATCAATCATGCAGTAGAACTTAAATATAAACCCAATCAACAGCTTCCAGGAGGAAGCAGTGAGTGAACTCTTTATCTAGCAATAATTTATTGTTGTTTATTTCAGGGTGACTTCTCTATGTGCAAAAATCTTAAAGTTCTATATTTATATGATAACCAAATCAGTCAAATCCAGAACTTGGACTTTGCTTCAAATATAACACACCTTTACCTTCAGAACAATTGTATTTCATGTATAGAAAATCTCTCATCACTGAAAAACCTTGAAAAACTGTAAGTTGAAAATAAGGTATTTATTTTTACCAGTGAAATAATATTTATTAGACTAAAAAAATGAAAAATTATGCAACCACTAAGGTCCTTTCAGCTCTTAAGTTTTGCTTTTCATGTAAAAGTAATTGCTTATGATTTTTTTGATGAAGCATTCTAGAAGAAATGACATACCATCTTAACATTTGTTTGCATTTACATTATTTTCATTTTTCAGGCATTTAATGACAATAACAAAAATAAAACAGCTGAATAAAGCTTGAACCTTTTAGCTCTACGTTCTACTCACATGCTAGATTATTTTTACTTTTTCTATTACAATTTCCAGGTGTTATTCAATACTAGTTAAAAAGTATTTTTTAATATATTGAGGCCTTGCATTTGCTTTTATTTTCAAAGGATGTTAAATCTATTTTGTGTTTGGTTCTGCAGGTATTTGGGAGGCAACTGTATCACTGTACTAGAGGGTCTGGATAAAATAGACCAAATAAGGGAGCTACATATTGAAAGTCAACATCTCCCTCTCGGTGAAAAGCTTATATTTGATCCAAGATCTCTTAGGTCCCTGGCAGTAAGTATATTTTGAGAATTTCAATGATAGGTAGATCTGTATTTTTAAGAGAAGTGATTAGGACTTGATCGCCATGTATTTTTTCCTTTTCTGCCAATTGTCGGCATTTTTTCAAATTCTACTGAGGGACTCCCATCCCAATTCTGATATAAACAAGGAGTCCTGCAGATTCTACTTCTTCGTTTATTTTTTCTGTGAGGAGTGGAAATGAGAATAATGAGAGGAAATCAGGAAATATGTAGATGTCCTATACCAACAGAATGTGAATAAACTAAAAAAAGGGTGGGAATTTATTGCTGTTAGTTTATTTATTTATTGTCTCCTTAGTTTGTAGTGAATTAGTTCACTGATTTTATTGTTACATGAATTTATTTACTGCATTTGTATTTCTCCAGCAAATGCAATGGCAAAAACCAAAAGGTGCAAACAGCCTTTTTTTCCCGGCTATTAAGAGCAACACAGTCAAACACATTAAGTTTTAGTTCTGCAATTTTTCTATGTTATGGTATGTCAAGATTTCAGGAAAGTCAGCTTCTGAAGTTTTCTTTCAATGTATTAATTGCTCAGTAAACATCAAATGTATTGTTGAGGTAGTTAAAAAAAATAAATTTATTTGCTAATAGATGTAGTTCTGTACTAAATAAAATAATCTTACTGTATCTCCCAAAGTGTAGTCAAGGACTGATGGGTTCTTTTTTGTGAAGATGAAGAACTCACTAAAAAATGAGTTCATGTGTTTATCATAAACATTTGACCTAGCTCTAATTCTTTCAGATCAAGTAATCCAAAACATGTATTACCATCTTCCTTTAATAGAAATGAGCTATTCCTGTGAGAGCACTTTTACTTTGTTCCTTCTGTATTGGAGAAATTATATAAGTAGAGGGAGTTATATCGTTATAACCTTCCCAGGGTGATAACTCATATCCATCAGTGGTTTACAGCATCCTGGCCTAGAGTCATTAGCAGTGTGTTCTTCGTGGCTTTTAATTAAGGTCTTTTGTTGTGACTTTGGTTTTGTTTTTTAGGAAACTCTTTGCATTCTTGACCAAGTAACATCTTTGTGGAAGCTACATGTAAACAGATTGAGTTTTCATCCTTTAAGATATCACTTGTCCCTCTTTAAGATATCGCTTCTTATTTCATCTTCTTCTATATCTTCTTCTTTTATCTAGAGATAAAAGAGCCAAAAACGTGGGACCATGTTGCTCTCTGTGTACCACAAGCAAACGTTTTGATGATGACGATATTATAAATCTTTTGACTGGGGAGATTAAGTTTATGCGCTGTGTGTATCAGGATGATAATGGTGATTTCTGCTTGCAGTGTAGATCTTGGTCAAATTTTAGAACGGGGTTAAACTTCCCGTATACGCTGCTGAAATAGACATTTTCTAACAAATGGTAAATCCTGTATCTGTTATAATTATAAATATCTTCATCTTCTAGAGAGAGAAGCTTTTTGTTCCCTTTATGTGAAGCGACATTGAGTATTTCCTGAGACAAACACCTGAAGGACATTTAGTTTTTATCTAGAATGTAAAGATCCCTCTAACTATTGTCTGTTATGAAAGGCAAAGTGCATTATGTGACTCACTAGTGTTCCAAAGAATGGGCAAGGACTGGAGGTACGTATGCCGAGAGGTTTGCAGGACCAAGCATGAAAGAAAAACAGGGTATCCCAGCTGTTAAATGAGACACTGTGGGTATCAGATCTGGATTTTGGCTCTCTGCAGTTCTGATGTGAGCTTGGAAAAGCCAGTCAATTTCTGTGGCTGTTTCGTACTTCAAATGTAGACTTAGCAGCACTTGCAGAACTCTGTAAAGCATTTGAACATGTTTAGAAAGAAAAATTCTGTATGTACTAAAGATTCCTGTAATAGTCGAGAAATATTCTTGCCTTGGTTTGACTTCAAAACCAAAATAAACAGCATTTTAGGACAAGATGGAAAGCCAACATAAAACAATGTGTGAGGTATGTGGTGGTTGTATTTGCATGTTTTTGTTTCCTATGCTTGTTCTTCCTTTAAGAGAATTTTCTGTAAGAATTTACAATGTGACTCATGCATGGCATGGAAAAAAAGTATTTCTTTTCTGCTTTTCTTCCTCCAGAAATCTTTGTCTGTGTTGAATATCAGCAATAACAACATTGATGATTTAGAAGAACTGGCAGTTTTGGAAAATCTTTCTTATCTTAGAGCAGTTGACAATCAGCTTCAACATATGAAGGTATTAAAATAAATATTTCTATTTAGTGTGGATGATAAAGTAGTAAAATTCATTTCTTTTATCATGAAATATATGAGTAAAAATAAGCTTCACTTCTACAGTTACTGAACCTCTGACTTTCCAAGCATTCTGTCTTTTCTCATCCAAAAATCTTGTTAAGGATTAAAACTGGAGAACCTTTAATCTTACGTAAGGTGGCAATTGTGCATGCATCGATGAACTGAGTAGTAAAGGCCTGGAAGATCTGACTACAATATGATATTATTATATGTCCAAAATGTAGAGTTAGTGTGTATGTCTTGGCCATCTGAGTCACAATTTGCAAAGATGATGTGGCTGTTCTTTGTTAGTTAACTTGCAATATTTTACCTTATTACAGTTTTTAATTCTCTCTTTTAACATAAACAAAAAACACTTCTGGGATATCAGAACATCTAGCTGATTTCGCATGCATTCTAATATAAAAATGACTTTTTGACTGTTGTTGGTGGAGTAGCATAAGAAGTGTTTGTCTTGAAAGGTTACATTGAATTTCTTTCATAAATTTCTGCTAAGGAAAGACGTCCTCATAAGCAAGAACTCTAGCTTCCACAGTAGCAGCTAAAACAAACGAAATAAAAGCATTTTTGCTCTTCCTTTTGCAGTATTGAATGTGACTCAAACAGAACAATTTCCATCTTATCTTCTCAAAAAGGAACAGTATTGGCCTTGTCACTTCTCATAATTTTTTATAAGTTATGGCATCTCCTACTTCTTGACCTAAAGAACAGTAAAAAAAGTAATTTCAGTGTCATACAAGTTACTGAATATCAAATTTATGTTGAACAGTGCGCTGACACCATCGTTGCACAGTGGGGGCATGGAACAAACTTTATAAATTACTTAATAAACTCTCTTTTTGTTTAACCATAGACATTCATGTTCTTCCTTTTAAAAAATATATTTTTATTAATAGATACTAAAATGAATTGGCTTAAATTATAACTCAAATCACCAGGACAAAGCCTTAATTGAAATAAACTCTCTCATTACTGGCTTGCATGTACATTCTATTTCCTTAGAAAAGTTAACTTTAATTGGTTACTAATTTTTAAAATAACTTTTTTCAATGCTTCTTAGAACACTTAGTATCTTTTACATTAAATTTGGCAGTTCTGTTTATTAACTAGGAGATTCTAGTATTTTGTGTGCATAGTCTATCAGTTATCTAGGTCGATATGCTTTATTTGGACTCTTAATTTTTTACATTTTAATATTAAAAATGTTAAGTGATGCATTTCTTTTTTGCTAGAGGATAATTAATGTATTGTATTTCAAGCTGTGTTTCTGGCTGGCAGTTGTGATTGAGTTCATATCAAAATGCAATTCATGTAGGCTTTTGCTGGATAATTAAAACCATATTGAATGTGGATTTTACATCAAGATAACAGTAAGCCTTTTTTAATAGGTAGTCTATCCAAAGCTTCCCTTCTGAAAAGGATTCCTTTCCTAAATAAAACATATTACGGTGATTTTTTTTGGTCTTTTTTGTTTCTTATAAATAGAAAACACTTCAGTTGTGATGATCTCTAAAGAAGATTGTCTTAGCCAAAGAACCAATTGTTTTTAAGAATACAGATGCCAGTTCAGAGACGGTGTTTTCAGCATCTCAGAGGGAGAAACAGTGTCTTCTGAAACAGAATAAGGAGAGGACAAAAAGACTGCATTATTCAGTAACTGTGTATATATGATTCAATCATTGTTAAATTTAATTACTTTATCATCAGGAAAACCAGAGTTAATATTTACCCAGATCCATTAGAGATTTATATTTCCATGTTACACAGTCACAGCTTCTGAAAAATTATGTGGTTAACATTTCAATTTGCTGCTGCTACCAGTTGCATTTGGTTCAAGCTCTGATAAATTTTGAAAGTGACTGTCCTGTGTGTTTTCTAAACAATCTCCAAGTAAGTTTTGAAAATATAGACCATATAGGGTATTTCTATTTGTATCTTCACAGACCTGTACAATTAATGGCCCTATTGCATGTGTCTGACATACAGTGTAATGCAGCTGGGTATCCAACTGCATTATCCAGCTGCGGTAACTGTGCTTTAGAGATTGCAGTTTGTAGGCTTTATGTTATCACTAATATAAGCTTTTATTTAAATAAAAAGAACGCAACAAACTGTTGAAAAAGCAGTAGGCAATGAAAAGTATGTAAGAAAATAGTCCATTTTAACTCTAATTAAGAGGTGTTAACTTGCAGTGAACATCTAGCAGGTGAACAATCTTACACATCCACTAGCTGTTTACAAAAAAAATAGCTGAGGGAAGTTTTGAGTATGTTACAATTTTTTTGCAGTCCTGAATTTCAGGATTTGTGGCTTGCATTATTCTACAACTGTGAGAGCTGAAAGGATTTTAGAGAGTGAACAGTTGTGTACATACTATATACATATACTTAATTGCTTCTGCTGGCTGCACTTGTTACACACAGCAAAGGCTCTTTCATTCCCGCACAAGCTGCCTCCATTCTCCTCCCTCCTACCCCTCTGTTTTCAGAACTGATGTATACTTCTTTTTCATGCCAAAAGCTCTGTATTATTCCTGCTTCCCTGTTGATGCCATCAGGAACTTCCCCGGGAATGTCTGACATTGATCAGAGACAGCGGCAGTGACAGAGACCCAGTTCTGCTCCACCCAGCGGGAAGAGAAGCTGTAGAGGAACCGTCCACCTCTGAGCAGGGCTGGTCAACAGTGGTGACCTGGGTAGCACAGGCAGATGGCATCCAGAGTAATATGGAATGCTTGCAAAAGAGGAAGATGTGAAAGGCATAAGAAACACATGAAGTACAATCTTCTCGTGTAGACTTTTCTCGCTTTTGTATGATTAGTGTAGTTGTTTTATGTCTAAACATTGATATAAATTTTTTCACATTATTATGATAACCCATACTCTCTTGCTTTTCAGCAGTGCCACGTTCGTTTCAGCGTAGTGAGTTCAAGCACTTAAGGTTCTGACTAATTCAGGGCATTGTTAGCATAATTAACAGACATCAAGGCATATAATCTTGTTTCACATGACTGCAGTTTATATAACACAGTCTGAACAGTAGACAGAACAACATTAAGTAATTTTCCTCAGTTCACGCAAAATAACTTAGTATGACTAGCCACTACATGTAAAAATCATGTCTTAGGTCAGTTTTCAATAATGTAATTGATTTTAATACAATTGACTTTTCTGTGTTTTCTATTGCTTGCTACTTCATTTATTTATCTTATTGAGCTTCTGGTTTACTTTAGTCAGGTTTACCAGGGCTTTCTAGACCGCAGTGTATTTGGGTTGGAGTGCTATGGGAATTTTTAAAAAACCACTATCCTATTAAAAAAACCCTGCAACTATTCCTGTTAACAAAAAGCCAGGATATTATTTCTTTATTAATTACATTAGTTTGGGAAGATTTTGATTGTGTGAGTATTTGGATAGATAGAGAAAATATAGCTAGATACACCTATATTTCCTAAGTCTTTAATTTATTCAACCTCTGCCCAGTATTGATTATGACAAGAGGATATCACAGAAGATGAATGCATTCACTTCAGAATTGAGTCAGGAACAAGAGAAAAATTATAGATTTTCTCAAATAGATTATGACAGGTAATCAAAATGGTGACAAATTGCTGTCTGTAGATGTAGTTAGGGCAGTTGGACTAGACATTGCCAATAAAAAATGGAGCATACTGGTCAAATACCGATTCTTAAATGACCATCGTTAATTGGTGAGAACGTTATTGCCAGCACTACAGCTGGTGAGGCACTTGCCCTTCCCCCTCTCCCCCTCCTTGCCCGATGGAATATAATTTGCTCGTCAGTATTTTGTAGCAGACCTCAAAGTGATAGCATGACATGATCATTTATCAAACGGAGACTGCCCACAAGAGTGTCTGGTCCCTTTAGTACAGCTTATTGAAAGGCTGGGAAGTGAAAGCACTTTATTAGAGACAGGAAGGCAATGAACAACTAGAGCGTATCGAAAGGGTAATCATATTTCAGCACAGGATTAGTGTGCTCTTAGATAAACATACACTGGAGTAAGCATGTTCTGGGTCATTTATCAAGTAAGTAACAGCTAACGAAAATCTACAAGACTCTTTGTATACATTCATCAAAGTGAAACTGTGTCCGTGTTATTTCAATAAGAGATAATTCTGTGTTGCAAAACTATTACTTGAAAAAAATCTTTCTAGTGAAATCTAGAACACATCACACATTTCGATGACAGTGCCTGAATGCTCTAGTAAGAGTAAATAGACACACTTGCTAAATACTATTTCCTGTTTAATAAGCCTAGCCTAAAATATTGTTGTGTTTGTGATTAAGTATTAGCACCTGAACTGTGGGGGTTATCATATTGCTGTTCTGATACACGCTGATAAAACTTCACTGTGTAATGTTATGAAGTTTATTAACATTTCTTCATTTGTACTGGTCCTCAGAGTTTCTTGCATTGTTTTGTCAGTCTTGCTCCTCACAGAAAGAGAGTTTTTCTCTCCATTTTTCTAAAAAGTTGTTATCATCACTGGATGACAGTTGGTGAAAGATGATATCACTGTCATCTTTGATGGACAAAAAATTATATCATTTGGAGGTGTGAGGCTGTGCTTCCTCTTTCATGTGATTTTTCTAAACATCTCTTATATAATCCAGAGAATATTCCTGGGAGGATTTTCTACCAAGAGAACAGAGCTTGCAAAACCAGAATTCTCCCTGCTTGTGTTACCCAGGTGACTTTCTAAATCTGAAGGAGCTAAGAGCTATCTACATCACTAGATGCTTCGTTATTGGCATCGAGCTGCTAAATTCTACATCATGATTAGTAGATTTTTCCAAATGATTACAATTGTAAATTCTCCCTCCTATTCATACAGATTGTTTTGAATGCCTCCTTAAGCTTTTTACACATATAAGGAAGCGTATCAAGAATGAGAGTTAAGTGAAATTTTGAAAAGAAAGTTTTTCAGCAAGTAGGGTATCTGAGTAGACAGGACCAGTCTGCTAAGCTTTGCATCATTTTAATTAGAATTTATTGTATTTAAAAGACAGAAGAAGTTTTATCTAGGTCATACTGCCCTTGGGTAACCAGACAGAAATCCAGATGGAGAAAGGTATATTTCAAAAATTTCACTATTTGGGCCAATACTATAACTGACCACCCACAGTTATGTAGAGGAGAATTACTGTTTCTCCTGTAAAATACAGTTTTATGTATATAGAGAGACAGTCTTTTAGCTTTTTTTCAGTCTGTTCTTTCTTTGTGAAGTATTTATTCTTCCAGAAGTTTTTCAAAATCCAATCAGACACTGATAACTCTTAAGGGCTCTGCGGGACCATGAGGCTGCATTAAAAAACATTACATATCATACTTCTTTTTTTAGCTGGTAGTTCCTCAACTTTAGATGCTTCTAAGTGGACTTGTAGTGGTAATTTTCCATAGCTGGGATTACTATATCCTTAAAAATGCAGAATTTTCCAACTGCATCACCATTTTTCCTGTGCAATTGTGAGATATATTCAGGGAATGCTACACACCACTCTATTTGAAAATTCACATTCTTAACGTGCATTTTAATACATGAATAGTCTCATTGCAGTTTTTTTTGTGTGGCCTGGCTGAACAAATTGCATTCCTCTTGAGTTTTACTCTGGAGGGGGTAAAGTAATCGCAATGTTCTGTTCTTGTATCAATCACAGGATTTGGAGGTTGTATTAAACAAATGGACAAAGCTACGCAGAATGGATCTTGCAGGAAACCCCATCTGCCGCAAACCAAAATACAGGGATGGGATTATAGTACAGTCACAAACTTTAGGTAACAAACTTAGCCCCAAAACCTACCCATAACTCTCACTTTGGAAAATAACTGATACATTAATCGTTCTTGAATTGCACTACGTATGTAAACACAATTATTGTCATGGATATTTATGGCAAATGACAAATTTGTGGCCAGATGAGGTATTTAATTTGGTCTGATTCAACAATGCAGATACAACCAAGGAAACATAGAGCGTAAACTTTACGACACCTAAGTGAGTAAAGTTAACCATAAAGAGCCAAATCTGTCTGTCTTCATGTTCAGTAGAGTTCCTTGGTTGTGAAGACATGCAGTTTCTCTCTCAACTTGAATTTCTGCATTATATATATCTTGTGTAAGAGCATGGCTTTTCTTCAGAACTTTCTGTAAGATGTTGCACATTAACTGAAATATATGTATGAAATATATGTATTTCCCTTGAAATTTATAGATCCTTTCTTTTGTAGTTACGTCAACTCACTCTTGCAGCTTGAATATGAGTATCAAGCTGTATTGGGTAATTTTTCTTTTACCAAAAGACTAAAAAGAGAAAAAAAATTTGAAGAAAGCAAATACAGAACCAGTACACATCATGTACAGCTTTGTACAACCTTTTAGTTAACTTTGGGTATCACAGAAAACGTTCGCTTTTCTTTGACAGAATCCCTTGATGGGAAAGAAATTAAAGAAGTGGAAAGACGGTTCCTAATGAATTGGAAAGCCTCCAAAGCTGCCAGGAAAAAAAACAAAGAAAGAATGACAAATGAACATTCAGCATATCTACATTTTTGTAAGCAAATAAATCAATTACTGCATGCTTATTTGCAGTATTCCAGAAACCATAAAATAGCAGCTAACAGTAAATATGCTAAGAATGAAACTTGTACTGGTGTCACCACACCAAAGTACAGGAGTAGAAATTCAAATTTTCCAATATAAAATTTAGTTTTAGCACTAGTTCATACGCTCGCTTTTCTTCCCACTCCAATCTAGCAGAATTATGGAAAGGAGTAGCTGAATGTCTGAATGTTTGTAAGTAAGACTTGCCATATTAAAAAAAAAGAGTGTTGGGCATTCTAGTATAAATATGCATGAAGTACATCAGACTTTAAAAATCTATTTGCTGAGACTTATTTGATCTGTATATATTTTTGGTCCTTTTCAAGGCCCTCTGTCTAGCAGAAGTAAAACTTTTAAACTTGGATAGGAAAAAAAAATGTCTTGGAAGAAAAAAAGCCCTGAAACTAAAAGAAAAGGCAACATATTCTTGAAGTGGGAAAACAAGTTAGTTGCCAAACTCAAGCAAAACCTGAAATAAGACTTTTGAGTTTTTTAAAAAGTGGTGGGGTGGGCGTTGTTGTTGTTATAGAGTTGATTGCAGATTAGAATATAAGTGACTTAACAGGGTGTCTTGCCTCTTGCAGGATTTGGAAACAAACATTAGACTTCAAATTACTCAAAATGGTTTGAATAACCATATTTATAAAAAAAAATTGGTGGCAGTTACGCTGTTGCTTTCGGAAGATAAACTGTGATACATAACTTGAGGGAGAGACCATGTTCTTTACAGCCATACTGTCTCAAATTATTAATTCATGAAGTCTCATGTGCCTATGTTATTTTTGAAGACCTGAAGTGAAAAGCACTCAGCCTGTCAGCCTCAGCCCCAAGAAAGTTGTGGTCTGATCTGTGTTTGCAAGTCTTATGTGAATGGCAACGGTTCTGAAAGTAGTATTCTGACTTCCTAAAAACTACCGATATAAGGAGCTGCTATGTAATTGAATTTACTCCATCTCAAATAACTCTACCTGAATGGGAATGCCTGCTTTAATATTCACCCTTCTCAGTGTTTGCAGCACTTTGCATAATTTCATGCAAAGTTTTCCATTCTCAAATTTGAGGCATTTTACCCTAAGGCTTATTACACTGTTTTCTATAATAAGATATTTTGGAACCTGTGATCAATCATTCTGAATATTAAAATAGAAGTGGTTTGAGTTGGGTTATTGAATTAATCCATTTTTCTTTGTTTTCTACAGCTGACTTTGAAACACCTTATCCTGTTCTTCCCTTTCACTACAGTCAGTCTGTGAAAGAAAAACCAAATTTTTTATTTTTGTCTGAAATGCATGAAGTTAAAAGAAAACCTCTGCCAAGAATCCTGGGAAAAAAATAAGTCAGACAAAAACTCAGGTATGTTCCTCGGACATCTTACTTTTAGTTCTGTTGATGATTGCTTGTACAGCTCTTAATGAATCTGTTGGAAAATGAGCACGTGAAGGTAAAGTTTATTCTGAAATCAGTTTCAGGGGTTTTTAACCATGTTATCTTTATTGTCTTTATCTCTCTGAAGGACAGGATAATAGATTTCAGTTTCTTGTTATAAATCAGTAGACTAGCTAATTGTAATAACTTTACTCCAGTAGTTTCTGTCATACGCATTTGATTGTAATCTTCCACAAAGGTAAAATAGTATCAAAGTTAATTCTTGGAAGTACAGTTACTGTCAACAACATTGGTGAAGGTTGATCCCGTGCACTCACGCAGAAAGAGAAACAATCATTTTTCATCATCATAGCTTACTTCTGATAGACTTGTTCCAGTGAATTATAATACTTGATTAGCATTTTCCAGTATAATCAGCTCAAGACCATTAAGATAATCAAGAAAAAACCAAAACTGATGTGTGTGCCTTACAAGTGTTTATATATTATCTTCAAATAATTCAGAGTTTAGCCTATGTATTTCCTTACTCATGTAAGTACTCTTGTGAACTGTAATGTTTGTGGAAATAAAATCTGCTCATAGCAATTTGCAGTTTGGGACCTACCGTTTTTTCCAGTTTTACCTGTGGTAATACTTTAGTTCAGTATTTTGGACCTAATATCACTCCTTCCAGATTTTTTATACTAGTTTTAACCTTACTCGTTTATTATTTATCAGCTGTCCTGACCAAGAAAAAAATTGTCATTTATGCAATGCTGTAGATAAATACATAAATTCAACTGATTCAGGTATTCTTTTGTAATTAAATTACTAAATGTAGTGGTTTATTTTACATTCAAATCAAAATTTGTTAGTATGTTTAAAAATTTAGCTGAGCAACATTTAATACTATTTTATTCTTAACAACTTACCACTTCCCATCAGTTTTGTTCCTACTGATTATTTGTTCTGATTAAAAAGAGCTGCCTTTCCCCTGAGAAGGGAAGAAGTACAAATCACAGAGCTCCTCTCTTCCAAAATACTGGTTTTGTTCTTCGAATAACAATGGATATATTCCAACCTACAAAGAAACTGAACTCCATCTCTGTGCCCATTCATGAATTTTTTTTCTTGCTGCAGAAGGCACATAGCAGTGGAGAAATTTAAAAACAAGAACTGCAGGAACAATGCACTAGTTATCACAAAATAGCACTACTTCACAATTATTTTCCAGTGAATAGTCCAGGCTTGTGAAATTTATCGGGGTACAGGCCGCGTCATAATTATGCTATATAAACATGCTTTTTTTTTCTTTTAATTCCATTGTAAAATGAATTTGTCCACGCGCTCAGTGTTCTGTCAGCTTGCATTTCATCTTTATTAGCCGTCTGTCTTCTGGGCTCGGCTGAGTAAAACTATGTTCTTCATTTACTATTCCCCTTAGCCCTAATAAAGGATGAAACATGATGTACAGCACCTCCCAAGAAGTTATTTTCTGCTGTATAAGCTCTTCTGCTATCTTCTTTGAGATAAAGCAGTCTGATTCTACTCTACTATGTGAAAAAACTGTCCAATTGCTGAGGTTCTTTGCTTGACAAAATTTTTCCCAGTATTAAAAGTACAGTCCTGGCCCTGCTGAAATCCCCTTGGCCCTAGAAAAACAAAGATTGCATCTTCCATACTTGCTTGGAATAAAATGTCTATATTTGTATTAATTTTCATTTACAAATTAAAAATGTGATTTTTTTTCAGTTTTTTTTACTATTAGTCTAGAAGATTTTACTCTGATTCAAATTAAGGTTAGAATAAGGTACAGTCAGTTGACATGCATTTAATATTTTTGAAAATCTTGTAAGTGGGACTTTTATCTTGGATGCTGAAGCTTGCTGTATGTTACAATTTCATGTGTAATCACTGATCTTGAGATGAGATCTTATTACTGTGGAATTCCATGGAAACCAAAGAGTCATGGGAATTAGCCAGAGATTTGCATATTCATTAAAATGTTTTTTTGAGGAAAAAAACCCCACAACTCAAAATACAGAAATATTCGTTCTTGGAGTAGATGCAGATATGAAAAAATCACAAATCACAGTATTCCCTTGCCAGAGCCAGTAACTAGGGATATGCATAAATGTGCCCACATGTAAAGCAAGAAAATTTTGTCAAACTGAACAAATACCTATATTGTTTAACTGAAATTCAGTATTGAAGCAAAGAAATCAGTGAATTTTAATCCTACCCTCTGTGTTAGTCAAATAAATTATTCCAACAGATGTTTCCTCTTTCCTATACATGTTAGGTGATGTTTGACCTCAGCAACTGAAAAACAGCATTAAATACCTTTTTAACCTATATCTAAGATCCACTGAGGATTACATACAGCTTGAACAATGAAAAATGCCAGTTATTACTAGATTACTGAAATATGTCATTAATCTTTCTTTTCTGATGATTTAAAAACAATAGCAATTTTTTATTGGATTTTAAGTTGGTTTTGAACATTTAGAGAGAATTATGAATATTGGCAGGAAGTAATTAAAAGAAAACAAATCACTTAACTATTTTAAAGATACCTAATACCTTCCAGTGGGCTACACTACTATTAATTTTCCCTGAGCAGAGTAGTTGTTGAAATTTTGATGTTGTGAACTTAACCTGTAACCAGCAGTTTCTGCCCACGCTTCCTTACTCCTGCAATTAAATATTGTAGTAGGTGTTCAGGGCAATATTAGAGCAATTCAGAATTTGGTGGGAAAGTTACCTTTTGTCTCTCCAGTGTGTATTATGTGATCACTGGTATGATAATGTCTTCAAACATTATAGTCATCATATAATAAGTACGCTGGAGTGTGGCATCTCATCACAAGACGCTCTCCTCACCACCGTGCACGCCCTGCATAGTTCAAGTTCTCATTCAAATGGAAAGAACTTAAAGTGAGCAATGTTAGTTCTACCTCTTCTTAGCAATTCTGCAGGCGCTCTTGTCATGGATTTATTTATTTAGATGTTTATAAATGCCTTAACTTGAGGTGATTTATCTTGTTTGAAATCTATATAGAGTAATGTATATTTGATAACAGATAAGAATGTACATGGTCATCAGGTATGCCAGGCTTTTTTTTATATCAATCTAACTGGCATTATAATAACTAGAATTATTAAAGCCTATTATATAACAGTTTTATTAACAGGGTTAATACTGAAATTATAATGATTGTATACCCAAAACATAACCTACAATTATACATTTATTTCATATTACAGCATATAGTTCTCTTATTCCAGGGGGGCATATGTTACCTCCAGGTAACCTCAATCTTGTTCTCTCACTGAATATCAATTTCAGCAAGTGTCTGAAAATTTCAAAATAAATATTTATCAGCCTTGGTTTCAGGAAAAGGAGAAATACAGTTAAGGCACAAACCGGTGCGGTTTTAGCTGTGCACCCTAGAGCTGGTTTTAGCCACTGAATAGCCTACAAGCATTCCAGCTGTACTCAGGATTAGGTGCATTAAATGTTTGGAGATACCAGCAGGAGCACTTGGGCAGAACTGAGAACATGTTTTGAGTGGACTCGGAGTGCCTTTTCCAGCAACAACAGCTGGTCTCGCTGCCTTTCCTTGGTGATGGTGTTGAAGGACAAAGGTAAACATCCTCCCAGTGAGGTCTAGAAAGTATCAATCAGCAATTAGTGATGAAGGCTGCAGAAGAGAAATGTAAGGAATTTACTTGCTATTGAATTATTCAATCATGATACAGGATGTGAAAGGAGTCACTGTAATGCTTGATAAAAAAGTTCTGAAATTAAATAGTGTTGCTGAAGCAGAGCCATTGGAATGGAGGTGAGGCAGTAGCAGTTTCTGGTTACTGTGGCCCATGTAAGGTTTCAGCAGGCAATTCAGCCCATTTAGTGGTTGGCTCCATTTTTTTCTGGAGGATATGCACTACCTGCAAATGTGAGTGTTAAGTGCTTTTATAGGACCATAATTAACATTAAAGTAATATATACCTTCATGGTATTTTTTATATCAATGTTTACAGCCTTGCTGAATGTGGTACTGGATGATTCTACTCATGATAATTCACTATCTGTTTAGTAGGAAAAATTCTGTCATTACAAGCATGTGAGATGACATACAAATGGCATTATCTTCTGTCTAAACTGAAATTTCAGTAGCGGTAATTTAAAAAAAACTCAAAACCTAGTTTTAATATATGCCAGATCTGTAGTACTTAACACTGCCACATCATTCAGTGTCCTGAAGACAGTCCTTTTTGACCATGCCCGTGCATCCTCTTTTCCAGTTCTCTGTGCTGCTGGCTGTGCCCTAAACTGGGAGAGAGAAAGGATCTAAAATACCTCAACAGAACACATGCACTGATAGATCCCCTGGACCCTTTAAAAGAGTAAACGCTTTTTCAAATTGCTGAGTGAGAGTGCTTGTCTGCCAGTGAGCAGATTGCCAGCCAGACCACAGGTACCCCTACTGCGTCTGGGGGACCAGATACCGCAGAGACACGTTCTCCTCTGGAGGTGTATGTCTGCTGAGTGCAAGCTGGCAGGAACACTTTGCACAGCATCACAGAGTGTCAGGGGTTGGAAGGGACCTCTGAAGATCATCCAATCCAACCCCCCTGCCAGAGCAGGGTCACCTACAGCAGGTCACACAGGAACTCATCCAGGTGGGTTTTGAATGGCTCCAGAGATGGAGACTCTGCAGTCTCTCTGGGCAGCCTGTGCCAGTGCTCTGTTAACCTTTGGTTGCATCAGTCTGGTGACTCTTCCAGGAGATAGTGCTGCTTCCTAGACCTTGAGAACACCAAATGACGTGTGCAACTTGTCAGGTAAAAAAATAACCAGGGCACATCTGGCTGTGCAGGCTGTAATACGCTTTCAAGAACGCTAGAACCCAGACTGTCTGGAACATTCTACATAAAGTACATGAATATTTAGGATCATTTAGGTTG